TCGGACTAGTTAGTCCCCTACTCTGAATGGGGCCTATGATTACAGGGTGGCTATCTAATCCCTCTGTTGTCCCATCCATGGTCGTTGTAATTAAAGAAGGTTTAAAACCGAAAGAAACTGATATCATGTAGTAACCGAATCGCTATGGTACGGCCTGCTGAAATGATGATAATGAAAATAAGATAAGCCAAAGCTGATTGTAGGTTGAACTCCATCAAAAAAAAAAAAAAAAAAAAAAAAAAAAAAAGCTTTAAACAACAAGATGAAATTAGCGTGTGTACCGAATTTTAAATTTCCTTATTAGCCGAGGGGCGCCATATTCATGTACATTGCAAGGCAACCCCACTAGTCATTGGCATTGCGTAAAGGCAAAAGCACGTGTAATTCAAACACTGACGCGCTTTTCTATGTAAGGTTCAGAAGTGGGTAGCACATGATCCTCTCAGATTTTATTTTGATCGTTACCTTAATGTGAGAATAGCTGAATAGACTGAATAAAACGAAATGTAAAAATGTCAAACTGTAAACAACGTTTGATAGTGTTGAATGATGTGGCTGTTCATGCACACACACACACACACACACACACGCACGCACATGGCAGTAACAGTTCGGGGAAACAAATCGCGAAGATGCGTGTCTAAATAGCAGTTTATATTCGTATGCATATCATATTTACAATGGACCAGCATCAAAGTTTGAATATGGCGAGAGTTGAGTCGTGTTGGTGTGGGCTATGTGCATGGTTAGCTCTTATTTTTATTAGCAGAGCAGAAAGTTTATACGTTATTAGTTGTATATTGTGGAAAATGTGTACCTGAACACTATTTCAGGCTCAAGGTTTTAGTCCAGTTAAAATACTCACCCAACTTTATACCCTTTAAACAAAATCAGTGCACTGATAACTAAGCCATTGTTTTCTACTATCTGAAGGTGCCTGCAAACGAATCTGTATATCGTGTTGGAAAAGCCGTGGCCAAGCTCCAAGATCTGATGACGCCAAAAACAGACCCGCCTGTCATGGTACTGCTCCATCTCGGTAGCATCACTGAGACGGATGTGATAGGAGAGATCACGGGGAAACTAAAAATGATACAGGTCACTTAAACAAAATGTTAACAGACTTAAAAGCTTCGGTCACAACCGGACGCACGAATTTCAGGATCGTCCTTCCCCTGCGCCCCTGCGATTTTTGGGTGTTGCGGAGGCCGTGGAGGTCGTAGAGGTAGAGGAAAGTCTGCCTTGTGAGTCGCAAGGGCTTCATGAGATATCATTTCAGGCAGGGACGCTAATTGCAAGGAGCGATGGTCGTGGAAAATGAGCTCATTTCTTGAGTTTGTCTTGCTTCCTGTGTACGTGGCACACACTCACCACTTACGAAGGGAATGCAACGCACGGCGACAGTAGTGCCCTTTTGCGTCATTTTTGCTTCACACTTGCCTCACACGTTTGTGGTGACGTATTGGCGGTTTTGCTTCCTGTTTTGCTTCCTGTTCTTCTCTTCTTTCTCCTCCATTTTTTCTTCTATGTAAGCTTCTATCTCTTGCCTTTTGGAGGCAAATTAGAAACTAAATTGAGCAAAATTTCGAAAATTTTGAAAATTGTTGTACACGTTACACAGTCGACGTTTGTTAAGCCTCTCTTCTGGTCCTCAAATCAAGTTCGGTCCCTTGGTTCTAAACTGTTTACAAGAAGCTCTGTACTGGTCCTACACCTGTAAATGTCCATCATGACGAGTTCAAACGTGTTCCCCAAACGTGTCCTTGGCTGACTCTATTAAGGTCTCCAATATTTGAGGTTTAAAACTTTGAGAGGCTACCAAAAACGTACGTAAACTGAATGTTAGAAAGAAATGCATTTCAATTATTTAAAATTGTATTATATTTGCTGTAATATATTCTCATATTTTTTAAAGAACACGAAAGTTTGCTGCGTGACTACCGTTAGGATGCTTAAAACTACTACAATATTATGGCGTTCTCTGCTTCTTGTTTTCAAGACAGTTACATTCGTGGGTGATTGTGTGCATGTGGGGGGGGGGGG